TCCTCCTGAGTTAAATAATCCTTTTACAGCAATAATCAATTAATAAATAACTAAGAACTCAGAAGGCGTGAGTGATGCCAAGTCACATTAAGTTGTACTCTATACTTAGGAAAAGAAACTGTTAAACTTGCAAAGTTAGAATGCCTGCTACCTGATTTATTAACTCCCCCTTTATACCCCTACAATCTGGGGACAGAAGCCAAAAAGCTGAGCTGCCTATGTATACAGCGTAACTAAAAAATTGTCAGTGAAACACTGTAAAATGATTATGATAAAATATGATCATTTTATCAGCAGGTGTTTAGGGTCTGAACGTGGGGCTTATGGCATGCCTCTGACATTTCAGTTTCACAGGCATCACATCAGACAGTGAGCCCAGCTCAGAGAAGGGATACAGCATTCTGCTGACTGGGATGCCTTAGTCTCATTCTGTAACCCCAACCCCTACCCACAACCAAGAAAGTGTTAAATTTCACACTATCCTCCTGGTCAGAATTTAGGAGCTCCCAGTTCCTTTAGCTGAACATTTTTGTTTTACATCCCCTAAAAGAAAATTTAAAAGTATGTGCCTTTTTGCACATTTTTAAATTAATTCCTGAAATCATATATCAAGTGTAAATAGTTGCTAAGGGTGTGATCACTGACATATTGTGTAGTTTATATGAGTTTTTATATATATTTTTGTCAAAACTTTGGCACTGTTAATTTAGCTTATTAAATTTACAAGCAAGGTACACTATATAATCTAATTGGCAAAGCCAGTTCTGGTGGTCAAACCATCCAGCCAGATCAGACTTGCTTTCTGTCAGATTAAGTCTGATTTCATTTTTTTCAATACCAATAAACATTAGCACACACCTCATGATAACCATCTCACTTTTGAATTTGAAGTGTTAGATTGATGGATAGATAGATAGATAAAACACACAGCCTTGCCAAGAGTTTCCTGCCTAAATGAAAAAAGAGATTGTCTCCTTTACTATTGCTTGCCATTCTCTCATAGGACTCCTCTAAGGGAGACATTCTAAAATTGTTACATGCTAAGATTCAGAAGGGTGAGAGTAGCATTTCTGCAGAAGTGTGGGAGTATGGTGATCTGGAAAGTGGGAGTGGCTGAAACAAGAACCTTATAGAGCACAGGCATGTTTCTGAGGAGATAAGTTTTAGGAAGCAGTATATATGGAAGTTAAGGATTTGGACATTAATTTTCATAAAATTACCCAGGCCCAAATACTTCCTGGAAGGTAATTACATACCACAAGGGTATCGGTACCCCAGTTTTAAGGCCACCACTTTTAGATACAGCAATGCCCTCAAACTAGATCAGTGACTGAGCTAAGGCCGGTTAACTAAACTTCACTCCGTATTTGTTCTCCCCAGTGTTTGCAGGCATGACTTTTCTCGAGACCTGCCACCTAGAAGGGTCAGAGTGATACTCAGCCTTTCTAGTTAGTACCTGTATTTTATTAGGTCTGGGTTGTCATTTACAAAACTCTCCAAGTGAGCAAAGCAGGATACTGTTGCTCTCCAGATATTTGAAGGGTATTTGGGGATAGGAACACACTTGTTCTGGAATGTAATGTTTCAGCTGCCAGAACTAGGAACATTTGAGGGAAAGACAGGAGGAGGCAGGTTTTTATTCAGGATAAGAAGGAAGGTGGGTTGAGGAAGGTTAACATTTTTTATCACTTGTATTGCATAAAATACATAAAGCTTTCACAGTAACCCTGGAAGATAGCATTTCGACGAAACTGAGATTCAGAGAGGTTAGTGACTTAAGATCCCACCGTTTATTAGTTCATAACAGGGATTTGAACCTAGTTCAGTCTGGTGACATCAGAGTAATTATGTAATGCTGACTCTCTCATTGGCATTACCTGCTATAGAATGGGCTGTCTGCCTAACACCCTTAGTTTATTTAAAAAAAAAAAAGTGAAACAGCCATTAACATCTGAGTCCCATTCTGGTTGTAAGTCTAAATGTGACTGGTAGGTGTTTCAGAGGAGCGTGGTAAGTGGCTGAGGTAGAAGGCTGTATTACTTCCCTTGCAGAAAGTGAAGACTTTTATAGACTATTTAAGATTAAAAATCTCATGAACAGTCAGGCATGGTAGCTCATGCCTATAATCCCAGCACCTTGGGAGACTGGGGCAGGTGGATCACAAGGTCAGGAGTTCAAGGCCAACATGGTGAAACCCCATCTCTACTAAAAATACAAAAATTAGCTGGGTGTGGTGGCGTGCACCTGTAATCCCAGCTACTCAGGAGGCTGAGGCAGGAGAATCGCTTGAACCCGAGAGGCGGAGATTACAGTGAGCCAAGATCACACCACTGCACTCCAGCCTGGGTGACAGAGCAAAATCAAAATAAATAAATAAATAAATAAATAAAATGAGATCATCTCATGAACATAGACTAGCTTATATACAAAGTTTATATACAAAGTGAAGCAAGAACATTCAGGAGAGGAGATGATGCCTAACACTAATTATATTGTTGAACCCTCCAGGAGAGATGCCATACAAGCTGAGCAAAGCTCTGTGTTACAGATTCAGTTATGATCCCTTTTCTTATTCATTATTGTGAGAAGTGGGTTATTATAAAAATAAGATGCTTTCTTTAAAGATGCTGTTCTGGGGGGAAAACAAAAGGTTCTCCCTCTCTCCCCTGAGCCTGTATCTCACCTACTAGGCTTTAAAGTCCTAGAGGGCAACTCCTGTGTTCATCTTATTCATTATTGTGCCCAGAATCATGACTGACACATGGTTGACAGTCAACAAATATTTAGCAAATGAAGTAATCAATAAATGATATGCCAGTATCCTAAGATCTCATGTTTTAAACTGTGAGATAAATTTCAGACCCAAGAACAGATCTTTTTTAAGTTAATGAGAAAAGATTTTATCAGTTCAGACTTCAGACCTTTTCCCCAAGCCACTCTCCAAGTCTTATAGTAAAGAACCTGGCAACTGGAAAAGAGTTTATTTATAATTTGGTTATTCCCAATTTGGCAAGAGTTGTTGACTTCTTTGAAAATATGATGAAAAGTATGGCTTCTCTCAGACAAAGGAACACACAGATAAAATTCTGTATACAATTTCATTAGGTCCATGAACATTTAAACTATGTGTCTCAAGAATGCTAAAAAGTGAACTGCAGCTTAGGGCAGAGTCACCATGCTGCCCTCATATTTGAAATAAAACTGACAAGAGAACAATGAGACCTTGCTTTGGATATAATACCAAGGGGGAGAATATGGCGCCAGTTCCAGCTCTGCCTTGATTCTGGTGAGAAGCTTTCATAAAAGACCCTTTGTTCCCTTTGGGACAGATGCCATTAAATACTGCTCCTTAATGACAGCCCACTGTCCAGCTCTTCCTGGCATGCACCCTTCATCCCATGATTGTATAACCAGCAGGAAAGGGGAGTGGAAACAAGGCAGATTTTGGAATGATGAAGATTACTGGGTTGGTTCTTTTGGCTCTTAGCATACACTTACCTTAACTTGCAGGACCTGTTTCTTGAAATGTTTTTGCCTTTAGTGGAAGGTCTAGAAATCTGCTGCCTAGGATATTTTCCCTTAAGGTCTTTCCCAAATGGATGCAAAGGAGCACAGCTTTTATATAGACATAGATAATCCCTTGTGAGATGAAAAATTTCTAGGTAATAGCTGGGAGCTGATGTTCTACAGGCCTTTTCCTTCTCTACCAGCTTGACCACTTCAGTCTTTATCCAACTGAAACTAAACCTTGAGTTTTAAGGACACAGACCTTACTATGTGACCCTAGGATTTTACATGTCTCAGAGCTTCACGTTTTTCATCTGGAAAACGAGGGATAATAATAGCCCCTACATAATAGGAAGAATGGGTGAGTAACACACGTAACTCAGTGCCCCGGTCCACAGTAAGCACTTGATCAAGCTGGCTCTTGTTACTATTTTAAGGACAGTGACCTATGGAAGTGGATGGGGAGAAACTAGGCAAGTTTGCTACTTTTGCCTTTCTGAGTGTGCTCATTCCTGCTTTTTCAGGCTCTGCCTTCTCCTTGCCCCTGTCCCTGTACCAACAGTGTTCTCTCCCAAGTCCAAGCCAGAGGTGCTGTAACTCTGAGCAGCTGAGGTACTAGCCATGCCTCTGGGCTTGACAACTCATTTTTTGGTCACTGAAACATCACTAACATCTGGAATAACCTGGCCAGGGCAGTAATGACTGACCAGTCCCTTCAACCGTGTCCATCCCTCCCTCCCTTTCTTCCTGTTGTTTGTATTTCACTTCCTTTTTAAAAACAATTATTTATTGAGCTCTTCCATGTGCCTAGTCCAGTGCTAGTGCTAGATATACATAGTTAATAAATAGTATTGCTATTCTTGTATGCTCTAGTCATGGGTAGAGAGAAGAGTAAATCGCAAACAAATTATGTAATGTGATAAGGCCTATGAGAGAAGTAAGAGAGAATCACCAGGGAGTCCTACTTAGTAGAGTACCTTCTCTGACAAGGTGGCATATGTCCCTATGGCATGAGTTGAAATCTTGGATTTTTTCCAAGTGCAAAATGCCATTGAGAGTGCAGATGATAGTAGCTTCTCCTTGTTTTTTCTCTCCTAACAATAAATGGCTTAAGGCTTAGAGGAAATCACACACCTGATTTTTACCAGCAATTTATTTTGTCAGTTAAGTTTAAAAGAATGATGACTCTCACCTGCTCCTTTAAATAGCTGCTCACTTAACCATATACCAGGTACTGTGCATTTTATATGTATTATCTTATTTAATCCTCTAGTAACTCAAGAAAGTAAGTTTTATCATCATCCCCCTATGGCCAGATAAATCAGAATTTAGAGAAACTAAGTAACTTGCCTTTGGCCATGTTGCTCAATCATGGTAGTTAAGACTTAAAATCCAGGTATGTCTGACATAAAGTCTGTGCTGTCAACCAGTAGACTAGGTTGCCTCCCTTCTTGTGATATCTTAACTCACCTGGTTCTCCTTTTCCTTTGTAGTGGTGCCAGTGAAGAAGAGGACACATGAAGGCTTGCTACCCCCAGTGGAAAATCATCCCCTCCCCTTGTGTGTATGTGACAGTGTGTATGTAACGGCTTCTGATTTCTGTGAAAGCTGCTCAGCAACAAACGTACTTCCACCAGATGTGTCCCCAGATCCACAGCAGGCACATATCTCTCCAAGGGATGACCAGTTTTATGCTTACTGACTGTGTGCTTCTCATCCTCTGGTTGTGGTAGGTCAAGGAAAAGAGCCAATTTGATCCACCAGGAGCAATTAAGAAGGGTCCTTCAGGTAATCCCTCAGTGGCTGCTTTGAACTTACTCAGGAAAGTCAGCCCCCATAATATTGTGTTACCAAACAGTATGGCTTTGTTAGGAAGGATCTGGAATAATCTTGAAGGGAAGTCAGAGTTTTCTCCCTGCCTATTAACAGAAACCCAATTTTGTTCATATTGAAGCATGAAATAAATGAGAGCAAGGTAGGGCCACATTGACTCATGTGGGCAGTCCCTAAAAGTCCAGTTCTGCATTTGTGAAAATGTGGTGCCATGAATTAAGGTGGATGACTGGAAAAAGGTGTTGGAGAAAGAGTTAAAGATTAGGAAGAGATATTTTTAGTATATGAAGTTATCCAGGACTTGAGATTCATAATTCAGTGCTGTGGAAATGAAAAAAAATGATTGAAGAGGTGGAACGGAAATGACCTTAGGGGGAAAAAAAAGGACCAAAGAAATCTGATTAAAAGTTGAAATCAGTAATTCTGAATTCAAATTGCTTGAATTTCCAAAATAGTCAGTAAAGGATCTAATAGAACCACAATTATTTGGGTGAATTCTGCAGGTTTTATGGGCTTGTCACAACATGAAGGGCTGGAATGTATATTACCAAATGGGAATTTTCATTGTAGGTTTTTGCTAGTCCTATCCCCATTTTAGCCTAATTTGGCTTAAATGCAATATGGGGAGAATTGATGCCACTCCATGTGTTCTGAATTCAGCTCATCTCCCAGCATATAGATATAACCTCCTTTACCTCAGACCAGAACCCTTCTTCCTGTGGCACTCCCCACCCACAGACCTTCAGATCATCTCCCACACCCTGGATCTCGCTCTCCTCTTAGTAACAGAGACATGCCTGAGGTTGGACTTCCTTGCTTTTCTCTACTTCCAAATCACAATTTCTTACAACCAAGCTTTGTACTCCCGAGTAAGCAGGGATGTGCTAGGGGAATGTAAAACTGCAAACTTAAAAACCTGCATCTTCTTGAAGCATCAGTTTTACTTACCAAATGGTTTGGAGTCAGGAGATGACCTATTTTTATATAAAAGTTATATTATAGAATAAAATGTTCATACACATAGACTGTTAAGATAAAAAATAGGAATCTTGAAAGGTAATTATTTGCAAGTGGGTTATATGTTCACTCTCCTCTGCCTTTATGGTATTTTGGTGTTCACTTATGAAGAATACAACTGGAACCATATCCAAGCAGACTCTGGGTTGCTGCTAACCCAGGGCCTAGACTTCTAGTGCCTCTGAGGCAGAACCAAAGGAGCCTGCACCGGGGGAAATCCCTTTTCCTGCCTGCCTATGACCTGTGTACCTATTATAGGGCCAGCTGATTATTGTGCTTGCAGGATGGTTTTGAAACAGACACAATACTTGTTTACTATAAGAGTCCTATTTATATTATTTTTCAGTCTTGTGAATGCTGTGAAATGATTTATTCCTTTGAGGCCAGGAAGCTCCCAGGCATATATGCTTCTAGGTTAGGATTGTCCTAACTCACTAAAGATGCCAGGATATTGGGGCTGAGAGGAGTTTGAGATGTTAAAAAAAAAAAAAAGCATTTTTCTCTCAAACTGGTGGCCAAGAAATGGCTAAGACAATTTTGGTGCTTTAGCTGTCTCTGCAAAGACTGGAGAATTTGGCATACCATTAATTACAACCTCCAATCATATCCAACAAAACTACCCTAAAAGAAGGACCAGTGGCCACTCTTGAAAAAGTTTAAGTATCAGAAGATTAAAAAGATTTTAGGATTTGGAAGCTTGTATTGTCTTTCCCCAATAATCATTGTTTGATCTCCAAATGGTAGCCTTATATTAGCAATGGACAGATCATTGGTTCTCCATATCTGATCATATGTTATTACTTTGAATCAGTATTTGGGAAATTCAAGTATTTATGCAGTGGATATAAATGGAAATATAAAAATGTGTGCCAGTCTGTCTCAGTAACTTATCTCTGATCCTCAAGGAAAGCACTTTTGCTGTTACTTAGAAAGGGTTTCAGAGTTGCTTTACAGACTCCTGCTGTCTTCAGCACCTGATAAAACTTTAACCAGGGAAGCATTAAACACAGTGCAGCAGCTTTTGCCCAGGCTCCTAAGTTCCTGCCGGCAGCATTTATCAATGTAAGAAACTAGGATGCTTCCTGCAGTGGCACCACCTTCCCATAGAGCTGGAGCATGCTGCTTGGCCTTAAGCCCCAGTATGATGAGGCTTCCCTCCTGCCAGGTCAGTAAAACTTAGAAAGCTCAGAATTGTGTCTTGCCTGGCTGCAGGTTGCAGGGTTTGCTGAAACCCCTAAAGAGAAGTCACCAAGGGAGGCAGGTAATGAATGTTTCCAGAATCAGTCAGATACTCATAGCAATTTCTGGCTACCTTTCAAATGTTGAATTTCCGGATGGTGAGAGGGACTTTGATTTGATATCATTAAATCCAGGACAGTCCCAAGAAGTGCTTGGAGTCTCCGCTCTGACAGCCCAAGAAGGGAAATAACTTGTATTAAGGAACAACTATGAGCCAGGCCCTGAACTGTCTCTTAGATAATAAAACAGATGGGGAATGGAAGTCATTTGCTTCAAGTTACACAGCTAGGAAATACTCAAGCCAAATCTTGAACCCAGCTCCCCCTAATTCTGTGGACAAGCACTTTGTACCACACACTGTGGTCCACATAAAAACAGAAGGATAAAAAGGCTTCAGGTTTTCCCGCTGTGCGCTGACCATCCCAATTTATGAATCTTTTTCAAAATGACAGTTATAGTTAGGGCTCAGAAATGGCATTGAGGTAGCCTTATTTCTCCCCTTTAGCTGATGCTTTAAGTACACATTGCTGACTTGAGCCCACCCCCAGGAGTTGGGAGAACATTTCCTTTTTCATGTCGTCTTCCATAAATAAAGTGTTTCTTGGCCTTCAAAGGTATAGAACTTTGCAGCAGTAGTAAAAGTGAAGGGTGTTCTGCTTTCTACTCAACTTTATTTGCAACTGTCTGCAGCTTCACTGCTGTAGAAAAGGAAATCTTCATATTTTAGTAAACTTAGCGGCCAGTGTGCTCTGTGAGGATGTGGCAATTCAAAGTCCAGTGAATCTGGACTTTCCTACTGATTCCTGGTTTGCGTGTGTTGGGGGAGTGTGTACCTATATATAAATGACAAGTGTGATATGTGTGTATATGTATATACGTACATGTCCACACACACACACAATATTTGAGAACTAAGGAAAACTCAAAGCAGCCCCTTCATTATCTTGCATACTACTTCAAAGATTTCTGTCAGCCCTAATTACAAGTGTCACCATATAGTTGGAGCTTAGGTACTTGCTTACAAGAAGAGCAATTCCCTAGCAAAAGTTGTTAGCTTCTAAGGCACTGAGTCAAAGTGACAGCCCTGAAGGAAATTGCACTCCAGCCCTCCTCCAAGATGTCTAATAACATGGGAAACTTGGATGCCCAGCCATTTTGGTGACCTGAGAGTCTAACTACTCCAGTTAGACCTGAGGGCACAAATGCAGAATTCATGACCTTGTAGTAGTGGCAGGGTCTGGGAAGTCCTCTCTCCCCAAGTAGAAAATGCTCCCTTGCTATTCTTGAAATTCCACATTCATTATATGTATTGGCTGTTCCATACATGCTTCTCAATAAGAAAATTAACTGCATGTTTACTGTGTGCTGATCACATCAGATTTTTATGTTTAAAAAAATCTCATTATGGACTGAGTCCAGCCCAGCCCTAGGAGAAAAAGAAGGCCCATAGGGGAGACTTCAATCTCATTATTATTGCCTTTATCCAACAGGGCTTATGAAACCCCCTACCCTGTCCCATTCCAGAAACTGTAAGACTCAGGCAGTTCTTGATTCTGGAGGCCTGCCTGGTAAGATAAGATAGTATCATTTGGAACTGAGAACATACCAGAAACAGCAGAACAAGGTCCAGAGCAGAAAAATGAAAATAAGTGAAGACACTTATGGATACATTGGTGCAGAAAAAGCCACGGAGCCCATACTAGGCTTGACAGCAGATTAATACTCAATGAGGATTAAACCTGACCCGTCTTTCTACAGTGACAGGCCACTCTGCGTGAATGGGGAGAACCAATGAATCCATTGTCCTCTGCCTATTTTCCTGTGCACAGTCACATTCCTTCCTTAGGAATCTTCCCCTTCCACCCTTTACATTAAACAAGGGAACACTGAATCTTTCAACAGAATTACACGTTTGAGTTAATGTTTCAGTATATCATTTTCATACTGTAAATTATTTTGTAAGAGAGATTTACTGCTATCCCAGGATGTTCGGACTTGGCGCCCCTGTGCATTTGGAAATCAATAAACTATTACTGGAAATGCCATTTGTCTCTCAGAGTTGTGCACAAAGGACCCTGCAAGGGGTAAATATTTATGACGATCTGCATACTTCACTGTGGTAATGCTGGAGATGATGGTATTTTGGTCACTAGATGTGGAAGTCTAATTTACTCCTGACTTTCCCTGAGTGCCTTAGGAGAGATCTCTGGGAAGTGGCAAAAGAACAGACTTAAGATCATTATTATTTAGTGATATGTTTTCTCCTCAAAGTAAAATGATCCAGGCCTAGATTAAATTTTATGAGCAACTTAGATTATAACCTAAAGAATACTTGGTGCCAAATTATGTTTTCAAGTAACATTAAAGTTTTAGAATTTGGATGAACTAGAAGGAAGGTCAAATTGTAATTTTTGCCATCTTTTCTAGAAAAAAAAATGTCTTTTAGAGCAAATTACAGTTAGGCCAACAAAATCTTTGTTTTGTGAAACTTTAGAAATACATATTTGCATGTAATTGATGAAGAAATAGAATGAGTTGTAAATGAAGCAATTCCAATCTGGTTTGAAGGACCAGAGGTTGCACTGAAATCAGAAGTCATATACTCAGAGGCCTTCAGGAGCCAAATGTGAAGACTCAAGATGGTAGATATTGTGTGAATTAGAAAATACCAAGCCCTGCCTAAATGCATTAACATTTAACATTTAAAAATCCTAAAACCCACCAGCAGGTGTATCTGGAGGGACAGTTTGTGGACTCTCCTCTAAATTTTCTTTTAACGCATTTGTCTTCATCAGACCCTTTTGGTTAGCTAGGGACTATGTGAGAACCTTGAGAAAATTGTCCAAGCTAGGGAGATAAGTCACTCAAGGTCACCCAACAAGCTAGGCTGGTAAAGCCCAGGACAGCAGACTCTCTGTCTCCGGGAGCAATCATTAGGCCCTACTTCCTCTTCCCCAGTTGCGGAGAACACTGCTGCCTGGTGGGGTGGCATTGCCTGCCACTGTAGCACTTAGGAGTCTTCAGTGTTTTAACAAACCACAATGTGTTTGGAGGTTTTCTTCCCTGCTTCCTGGTGCCAGTATCTCAACACCACATCCACTGCCCCAGCCCTTTCTTTGTTTATCTTTCCCTCTGAAAGCTACAACTCTTATTTTATTTTATTACTCTTTGTTTGGTCCAACATGGCCCCATTTCCTTTATACTCATAAAAAGGTAGAATTTCAGCTTGTCTGGAATATCTCCTGGCCTTCACAAGGCACAAGAGTTAAAGAGACACCCAACAGAAAGTCTAGTAAGATAAGATATCACAGAAATAGAACCAAAGCAAAAGACTGCTTGAAGTCAATAACAGGCTGCAGTAAGTGTCTGTGCTTGTTAAATATTGTAATCTCCAGGTTTAAATCATTCATTTTTGTTAATAATAAGAGCTGTCACTTAGCTCTTTCTCTGGGCCAGGCACTCTCCTGTTGTCTTTCACATTATCATAATAGTAACAGCACCAATACTATTATTCCCCACTCTATTGCTCAGGAATCAAATTTAGAGAATTAAGTACTGTGACCACGGTTACACTCTAATAAGTGGGAAGCCAGAACTTAAACCTAGGTCTAGCAGACTTCACAGCGTCTTTCCTTAATCTCTTCTCTCCTAGATGCACTGATTCCACCTTGTATTGGTGAATAACAACACTTATCCCCCTACAACTACCCCCACGCATGTACCGTATGGCTTCGGGGCAAAGGAGTTTGCCTTTTGCAAAGAAGGTCTTGCTTTGTATAGCCTGTAAAATGCAATGTACAGTGAGGGAAAGAAATCTAAGGGTAGCAGTCAAATCTTCTTCTGGCCTGAAACTGTACTTTTGGAAGAGAGGACTATTAGACTTGTTTCACCTTCTTTATTCCAAGGCCATAAATAAGGAAATCAACAAGAGAGGCAAAACCATGTTTTCTTTTGCTATAGCCTTAGAATCCTGAAAGTCAGCCAGCTCTGACACTGAGTCTGTTATTTAATTAAACATGTTGAAGGCTCTCCAACAGCTTGACATCAGGCCAACTTCATATTCTTGGAAAGGGACAATAGCAAAAGGAGCTTATCTGTTTTAAAGTTTACTTACTGAGTTCAGCTGTCATGGCCACAGCATACCATTTGCCTTATAAAAATGGCCCACAACCGTCACAACATTTTAGGATTCATAGCAACTCATTTACCTAGGGCTTAGCCACCTGATAGCTTCACCTGTCCCTATTTCCTGAATACAAAATCTAAACTAGTGGTTTGACAATGAGTAACTGAGGCAGAGCTATAAAAATCTAGAACCTCTGCTCAACCCATCAAAAATGACTGAGAATTAAGTAAGCAAACAAGGCTTCCAACCAACTGAAATAAATCCATGAAGCAAACGCGTAAGACAAAGGCCATACATCTAGCCATCAAGCACCTCCTCAGAACCTATTTGCTTTTCCTTCACACATATTTCTAAATGTAAAGGAGAGAAACAGACTTTTGGAGGAAACAAGAAGGAAAAAGGAGGACTGCAATAGAGAAGATGGAAATTTTGAGTAGACTGCAAAACTGAAAAAGCCCTGATATATGGGTTATTTAGTGCCAAAAACAGTCTATAGACATCTCAATCTTTAAGAGCCTCACTGTATCACAGGACAATATTCTATTTAAAATGATGACCCTGTGCACCATACATTAAAAAAAACTATGCTTAGAAGGCAAAAATGTGTATATCAAACATTTTAGAAATATTTACATCCCAATGGTTAAAAAAAAAACAAAAAACTTTTAGGAATTAAAAGGAATAAACTCTTGACCATCCAGAGTATTTAGCTACATCAAACAATGTATATCCCCCTAGCTAACTTATTGTTTCATGAGCCTCTGGTGTTTAGAGAGTTTTTTTCACAGCTTTCTAAGTGACTTTCATGCTACAGTGCTTTGCATATAATGGCATGAACAATGGAAGTGCCAAGTTTCCAATGTGATGAATAAAACTAATAACTAGAATACAGATCAAATTATGTTACAACAAATACTGCTACCCATAAAAGTCACTTAAGCATCCCTGTTATTTCTAAGCCCCTGTCGATTGCTCATTTATTTTAGGCAATAGTCATTCAACAAAATTGGAGGATAATAAAAAGAAACTGGACCCTCAGCACAAGTTGGGTGTAACACATTTTAACCTGTAATAACAGATTCTCACTTGTATTTCTCCAGCTCTTTGCTGTAAGAAGAATAAACGTTATGTAGATATAATACCAGCATGAAAAGCTTGTGGTTGGTGGTTTCTAGGAGAAGAAAGAATTCAGAAGCAAAAGACACATGAAGTTATGTGGCAATTCCTCACTAGGGAATTTGCTCTCCAGGGCCACTTTTGACCTTAATCCATATTGGAGCCATCAATCAAAGAGCTGCTTGCATCTAACTGGTGTAATGCCTATACTAAGCCCTGGAACGAAGATAGGATTCATTTCTCATGGATTATTGAGCACTCTGGAGTAACCTGGCCCTGATCTGAAGACGCTAAGATTTAAAAACCCAGACGCATGTGACTGGAACTGTTTTTTCTCCCATGATGCACTGCTTTCAACACTGCATGATTGTAAAAACATGTGCCATGTTGACTATATATAGAGATGGTCTAAATTAATCAGCTGCATCCCATTTGGTACCCAGGCAAGGATTTTTCCATACCTATCTTTTTGCTGGTGGTAATGATGAGCTTGGTCACTTGATATAACATCCTTTGTCTGTCTTTTTTTCTTTTATGTAAATACTTTTGTGACTTCATTGTAACCAGCATTTTGTAATATTCTTAACAGCAGAGGGGATTAAGTCGTGATTCACTTCTGAACAGTACAATCAGCAGTAGGAAAACGAGGAGGGAGGGAGAGGGAAATTGTCCACCATTTCCCAATGATAATGCCTGGCTCAGGCCCCAGATTCACATCTTACTTGAAGTTCATAAATTCTGGGCACTGCTCAGCTTGAGGAGGCAGGCATTGCTCCTTTATATTTCAGGGTGAGACAAATGCTCTGTTGAAGCCATGCCACTACAGGATACGTTCACCTCTGCTTTCCTTCCTAAGCCAGAGTGTAGTTAAACATTTATATGTCCCAGGCCAGGAGATCAAATTAAGAAGAGGTTAGCTACTTTCCCTGGCTCTTAAAAACACTGAGTCGAAGTGTGGTTCTCCAGCTTGAGGGTGGCCATTTGCTGCCTCACTGTTTTTATTAGGACATCTGGAGATTAGAGGTGTTAATTGGAAGTAACTTTTCTGTATTTGGTTTCTCTCCACACATTATGAGACCTTTTAGACCCAGTTGGATGGCTATATCCTAGTATGAAATTCAACTTCTAAGTAGGAAGAACCATGATAGAGGAACAAGATTGCTCTTTGACTTGGTGGTAGTAGTGGCAATAGGGAGTGTCAGTAGGGTAGTTTCGGTGGGGAGGATGACAAACCACTGATAACAATAAAAATGGGTATTCCTCAACACTCAAGCCAATGTCCCATTTGATAACAAGTAGGTTCTGATCTATTTTCCCCAAATTAATATTTTCCCTGGAAGATTCTGACCTGTCTGATCAAATAAAGGCATTCCTCTGAGAGTACACCTAGCCCACTTGTGACCAAATTATACTTGACTGTTATGTACTCCAAACAAGCTTGCCTGTTAATCGCTTTCTCTTACCTCTATTACGAGGACAAGACGTGGAAGAAGAATTAGGTCACCGGGGGATCCGCCATCGTGTATATTTAAGTGATATAAAGAAGCCAGGATTCCTAGAATGGTCTGTCTTTTGCCATTTCTGGGACAATGAGAAAATCCATCTGGAGGGCTTATGCCCCTCTGAATAGCCAAGTCATGGGCTTGTTTGCTTTCAGTCACTGCTTTCAGAAAAAGACAATTTCACTATGACTGACTTCTAATAATCACTGAAACAGCCTCATGAGGACATGCAAAACTGCTATCTTCAGGCCTGGCCCATCGTCAAATGGCAGACTTGCAGAGCAAATAAGAGACCTGGCCT